GCCGCGCCGTGCCGCGCCCGCCGCTGCGACCGCACGCCGTTACGGCCGCCGCCCTCCCGCGCCGTCGGCGGGCGGCGGGGGAGGGCGGCGAGGGCGACGGTACCTTGTCGAGCTCCTTGTCGAGCGCCTTGAGCTTCTTCAGCCTGTGCGGCTCGGCGGCGGCCAGCCTGTCGCGCTGGTCGCGCGCGTGGCGCAGCTTCGCGGCGGCGGCGCGCCAGTCGGCGGCGGCGGCGGCGTGCGCCTTCCCGGCGACGCCCGCCTCGGCCAGCGCCGCGGCCAGCTCCTCGTGCCGCTCGGCCACCACGTCGCGGCACTTGCGGTGCAGGCGCAGCGCGTCGTCGGCGGCGCGCTGCAGCCGCGCGGCCAGCTGCCCGCCGTACAGGTCGCCCAGCGCCGCGTGGTCCCGGGCCAGCGCCCGCGCGTGGTCCAGCGCGGCCTGCCAGCAGCCGAAGGCGCCCACCAGCGGCCAATGCTCGCGGCGGTGGCGCTGGTCCTTGTGGCGCTGCGCGGCCGCGCGCGCCAGCTTGTCGAGCGCCTTCGCGTACTCGTGCTCGAGGTCCGCGCGGCGCCGGCAGTACTCGCTCAGCTCGCCGGCCACGCCCGCCGCCGCCTCGGCGCGCGTCTCCAGCACGCGCGACTGCTCCGCCAGCTGCGCGCGGATATCTGCACGCCCACAAATCCGCCTTCATCTCAAGTCGTTGTGGACTCGGCGAACAAACTTAACGTCATCAATGTGCGCGATTGCCGAACCGCAGAGGTAACACTTTCTAAATGTTCGTAATAGCATTTGAATACGCGTCTTTATGTATAACAGCAATTAGTACATTTTCCGTGAATATCCTTCCGAATCCTAGAACTGAAAAAAATTAATACCTATAAAAAATAAAATACGAAGATAAGATTATTGTGCAAGCCCAGAACTTGTTAGAGGCCGCTAGTCCCGAGTGTGACTAATGTCCTCGACCTGTAAGTCTAATACCGGTGTAAACATTGCGTGGCCTAATATTTCAGTCGAAGGACAAGACACTTCAACCCGGCAGCGACGCGTTTGATAGACTTTTTGTCTCGCAATGGTTTGTGTGATTATTGGCGGGTGCGGAGACGACGGAGAGAAGTGGTAAATAGGGAAGCGGCGAAAAAACAAGGGGAGCTCGGCTCTCGGCTCCCCTACGCCGGCGACGAGGACGGGCTTGGCACGGCCATGCGACGTCGCGTCACTCGCCCTCTACTCGACTCGACATCCATCAAAAGTCGTAAATATATCACCAAATACACCTCTCAGTTTCAACTCAATTTTGCAAGCGCCAATTCAGGCAAGTCTTAGTAATATCGGCACTCGTATGTACGACAACGGTCGCCAACTTTTTTGCCGCACACTGCGCTCGTGACGGAAGTGGGACGTTTTACATACACGTCATAGCAAAATCTCGTTTTGTTTGTCGTTTGCGTTAAAACTCCAGTTATAATTAGTTATTGGCATTTAACACGAGCATCATTCCACCTCAGTACATGAAGGTAACAGATAACGGTGCAGCACTACGACGCAACTCGCAGAGAGGCACAAAAACGGTTACCGGGGAATGCATTGTCGATGTCAGGTGGTGGCCACTCGTGGCGCGGCTGCACGATACAATGAAACATGGCGCGCCGGGGGGCAGCGGCGCGGCGACAGAGGCTAGCGGCACGGCGGCTGCCTCCCGACTGCCGGCGCGCAGCCTCCGCGGGACACCCCCGCCGCGCGCCACGCCACCCTTCCCCGCACTCTTCGTGTGCATTCACCCTCTTCAGGGATGCAACAGTTTACGATTACACTAGTAGTGTGTACAACTTGGGTCAAAGAAGTAAAGACGAAAGGGTTTTTTATAACATCAAGTGACGGGATGAAAAAGTCATGCGCCTGACGGTAAGCTACAAGCCTGTCCATAAAAGTGGCAATACCACCCAGAGCTTTACATCGCAAAGATCTGGGTCTCACCATAACTGAAGAAACTGAATGACATATCACATAATATCACAGTGGAGTTGTCATCGACACGGGCTCTGATTGTGGATATGCGATTATTCAGAGACCAACTGATGGTTACAAGTACGCGAATAGGGGCACACAATGAGACAATGTCAAAGTTGTCATTGCGAATGGATGCTTATGAGGAACGTGTCACTGGGCTAGAGCAGCGCATGCACATATTAGAGGAACGGTGAAGTTTGCGGATGGTAATGCAACTTAAAGCCCAGTTGAATGATCGAGATCAAGAGGCGTTATTGAACGAAGTGGAGATTTCTTGTGTGCCGGAAGCTAAAGGAGATAACTTATATTAACGCACATTGTTACAACTTTAGCTAGCAAAATTGACGTGGTGAGTGTGGTGCCGGAGCCGGGCGCGTCGGACGCGAGGCCGCACCCTATAGTGGTGCGGCTGGCGCGCCGCGCGGTGCGTGACGTCTGCTGCGCGAAGCGGCGCCACCACTGAGGGCGCAGGCTTGCCCGGCTCGCCGCGAAGGTTTTATTTCAATGAGCGGCTGACCAGAGCCAACAGGCAGCTCTTCCGCAGAGCCCGTGAGATGAGGATGGCGGTTTGTGTGGACACGAAACGGTAATGTGTTCGCGCGGCAGCAGTATGACCCTGATGCTCCTCGCCAGCGTTTGCGTACGGAGAAGGATCTAGTCAGGCGCTGAGGCTGTTGGTGCTGTTAGTGCTGCCCCCCAAACGTAAGAATAATGAAACTGTTATTAGTTTATGTGTTAATTTTGTTTTATGTAGTTCATTTTTTACTATAATTTTTGTTTGTTTGCTACATGTATTTTTCGCTGTAATGTCTTTATGTTGTACCACTGTACTGTTTATATGTAACATTTTGTGTATTTCTACGTATATACATGGTAAACATCAACTACATAGATCGATGTTTTGTTACAAATCATATAATGATATTGTTTCGAGATGCGCTACTTGGTGTTCCATTTACGTATATATTGTAACTATTGTATAAACTATTGTATATATTGCACTTTATGTATATATTGCATTCAGCGTATATACTTGAGTAGTAAGTGTGTGGTATGCATTATAATTACTAATGGTTCCTAAATTCGCTCTTTTTCGTTTGGGCCTGTATAATGCTGGATCACTTAATACTAGGCAGGATGATTTACTGGTTGCTATGGCACGGTACAACGCTGACATTGTGGCTATTAACTAAACATGGCTAGCAGCAGCCACCCCGCGACTCACGCACATGCGGGGCGGCCGCGGTGGGGGCGTCGGTTTTTTTGTTAAATGTGATGTTCACATTCGGTATTTAAAGATTTCGAATGACAACGTTGAACAAATGTGGCTTTCTACGCGAATAAATGGTTACAAAGTTGTCCTGTAACAACTGCGCATCGTCCGCAGTGGGTTAATGTTGATACCTTTTTTGACGTTATCACTGAATCCTTAATGCAGTTCTCGAATTTCGATTACGTAGTTTTACTCGGCGATTTTAATATAAATATATTTAATATAATATATAAAAATATATCAAATCGAGTGATGCCAGCACCATAAAAGTTACACAATTTCTGCAGTGTTCGGGTTTGCAACAGGTAGCTACGGACCCAACCCATTTTTCAGTAGATTCTAGCTCGTTGATCGATGTCGTATGTACTAACTGCCGAGTGCGAGACGTCGCTGTGAGTAATATTAGGGGTGATCTGGGGCATGCTATGATTACTTATATTTTATTATAAAGCAAAACCTACCTCTAAGTTTCTTAGATATAGACCCATCAAGAATACAAATTTAACAGATTTTAACTTGGTAATTGCTTCAATCGACTGTAAAACTGTATTAATACAACCTACAGTAGATTCCATGGTTGGCCATTTAAACAGTTTGATCCTGGGTTTATTTGACATATTTGCGCCTTCTAAGACAATACGACTTCGACAAAATAGATCCTTGCCCTGGGTAACTGACACTGTTAGGTTCATGATGGAGTTGCGCAATCAGGCTCACGATTGGTATCGCCGGACAGGACTGGACTCACATGTCCAGTATTACGGGAACCTAAGAAACTTGGTGGTAATGAGTTTGCAAAATGAAAAGCGTGCACATTTAAATAATTTAATCAATAAAAATTTCAATAACAGTAAAGTATTTTGAAAAAATTTAAAGGCAAAAATCTTAGTAGATGCCAGCAAAGGCGATGGTTTGCCGGACAATTTTAATGATCCAGATAAGATAAATAGTCCTGAGTGTCCCAGGAAGTGACTTTATACCAGCTACTCAGCAGACTTATTTTAGATCAAACCGTTTCTGCTCTTCTGAATTGCAACTGAAGCCGGTAACTCAGGCTGAGATTTTTAAGGTCCTCCGCTCAATTAAATCAAATGCGATTGGTGATGACGGCATCAGTAGGGATATGGTGCTGCTCACTCTACCGCACACTCTGGGAGTTATTATGGATATAATAAATAAGTCTTTGCTTACTGGAGAATTCTCAGTGCAGTGGAAAGCGGCGTTGGTTAATCCATTACCCAAGGTGGATAACCCATGCGACCTGTAGGACCTTCGGCCTATTAGTATCCTCCCAGTTCTCTCTAAGGTATTGGAAAAGGTAGTGCATATTCAACTGAGTGACTACGTCGAATCTAATAACATCCTTCCTGTCTGCCAATCTGGTTTCCGGAGAGGGCGTGGCACTGTCACGGCATTACTAGATGTTACGGATAGTGTACTTACTGAACAGGACGCAGGTCGTGCGACTTTGCTTGCTTTGTTGGATTTCTCTCGCGCGTTCGATTCGATAAATATCTCACTCCTCCTCTCGAAGCTTTCTTACTATGTTCTAAACACTCTTTCAGTAAACTGATTTGCCAGTTATTTGAGTGGAAGTACACAGAGGGTCAAACTTTTAATGGCAAATGGTATGGCAATATTGTCGCAACATAGGACTTTAACACGCAGAGTACCTCAGAGCTCTATAATAGGACCGCTCTTGTTCTTTATTTACACTGCCGACCTGATACGTGCAATCCCTTACAGTAAATGTCATTGCTATGCAGATGATGTGCAGCTTTACATTCATGTAGATCCAAGTAATGTACGTCCGGCTTGAATCACGACCTGAACACTATTTACCAATGGTCCTGTGATAATGCTCTACTCCTCAATCCTTGTAAATATATATATATGGTGTTGGGTTCAGACGCTCTAGGGAATAAGATTGTTAGTTCAAATCCGGTTGTAATAATCTCAGGACAGGTTATTAACCGCGTGGAGGAAGCTGAGTCTTGGAATAACTATAGACAATTCTTTGCGCTTCGAGAGTCACGTGTTGGGCCTTGTTCGTAGTTATTTCTATCGCCTTAAAGTTTTATACGGAATCCGTGATTTGCTCAGTGAGAAAGCACGTATTGCTGTTTGGGAGTCGCTCGTTTTATCTAAATTGAACTATGGCGACGTTGTTTTTGGGCCTCGTCGGCTTGCAAAGACTCACGATTATTGCAATGTGTGCAAAATGCTTGCTGCAGATTTTGCTTCAATGTCCCTCCACGAAGTCACATATCAACCATTCTAAACGATGCGTCAATGCTCAGGATGGACTCTCAAAGAAAGCTTTACCTTGCTTGTCTAATGTTTGACATCATGAAATTTAAAAAGCCCGAGTAACTAGTTGCAATTTGCAAAACTTTGCACATACTCGAACTACTAGGCCAATTCTGGCAGGTTATATACGCCGCACGGTAGCTTTTGAGGGTAGCTTCCGCCATCAGGCTACAAAGTGCTGGAATAATATTCCTCCGCTAATAAGATCTGTGCATACTAAGTTAAGGAAACACATTAAGAACCGCTTATTATTCCATCGGCAGAGTGTGTGACAGTGGCGGCGGGCGGCCGCTTCGGCCTCGCCTATTACCTTTGTTCGCGCTGGTCGAGTTTTACAAGGTGTCATATCAGAGCTGACTACATTAACACACAAACAGTGGAGTCACTTTCGCAACTGTGTGTGTGTGGTGTGCTGGCAAACTCGGTATCGGTACAGGGCTAGAGTTGGCCGAGAAGTGGGAGGGCGGCGAGGTTCGCAAACCGGTCAGGGCACGTGCAGGCGCCTCGTTAAATCCTACAATCACCGCAGCAGGCGACGACGGTGCAGCGAAATTCGCTTCAATGCCCAAAGGTATACGACAGGGCAAGTCGTTTCGCTTAGATAGTTATACTTCAGATTTGAGGGAACCTGCCCTCAATACGAGTGCAAAATCTGCAAAATAATAATGTATGGGCGGACATGTCAAGGGGTCAGCGCTAAGGTCCGAGTCGTTAACGTACACGCGTATTTATAATACAACCGACCGCGCAGGTGCGTCCGCGTCCATCGTACGACCCGCTAGACGCTGCTGCGGCTCATTAGCTCCCTGAACGGCGCGCGCGGCAGGAAGCGCAGCTGCATTGTACTACCTAAAGTACTAACCGTGTATAGGTATTTCCGTACCTATCGTTTGCATGCATTGTACTGTCTGCAACCCGAGTATGCGTATTGCAATATGTGGGGGCTGCCATCAACAATTTTGTAATTGGTACCTAACGATCACATGACTCCGAGTTCGCAACAAGTTTCCCTACAATTGCCGAACGGGCGGCTTTGCCGGCTTTACTCACCCATATTCTGAAAGTCA